GATTTATGGAATCATATGCACTTATTCACCAATATTATATGAACACGTTTCCTGCAATAATTCATTTTAAACAAGTGTTAATATATTAAGGGTGGATGACTCCATACGAAAATTATCTGATGGTTTCATAGAATTTTTATAAGCAGACTGCACACTATAAATAGGCTACCCTTTGCATTTCACCTTTTGCTTCTCAAAACTTCCTTATCCAAATTTTCTTCTTTCTTCATCTTTTTTTTTTATTTTTTTTTTTATTTTTTCTCTTTTTAATCGTCCAAAAGTGTTTTTTTATTTTTTTAATTTATGGCAGCCAATTTGCAGAGCCGTGGATTTGTGAGCTTCGGGAAACGATTGGTCGGTCAGATTCATCCTCGTAGGTTTGTGTTTTTTTACTTAATTCTCTGTGTGTGTGTGTGTGTGTGAATGTATTTTGAAATTTGCAGAGTAATTTATAGTTGGGAGTGTTAGATAAGAAATTTGCAGGAAAATGATCTGATTTGTTTTTTTTATTTTTTTCGCTGATGTTATGTTAAAGATGATTTTGCTGTGCCTTTTGATTCTGCACAAATTCTTTTGTGATAGGCTGTCTCACCGTTAGGCGGGTCGACCCGTCTGAAAATTGTTACAAAAATGCATATTTATAATAGAGTATGAACATTTTCGTTTGGAAATATGCATATATGTTAGAAAATGTTTGATTGTCTAACCGTGTTAGTCGTGGCTAAGAGTATAGCCTTGTTTATTGATTTGTAATTTTGTATTGATAATATGAGGAACAAACTTTGAGATGAATTATAGATAGTGTTTTGTTGTTACTTTTTTTCATATGATACGACTTTTTCTAGATTGATTGTTTCTGATATAAATGGACACCCAAAATGATTGTATGAGTCTAGAAAATTTGTTGTGGGAGATTGTGTTCAATGTCTAATTTGGGCAACATTTTCGTTCTGAGTAATGTAATAAGTCTGGTCATATACATTTCATTTCTGAAGTGTATGATTTTCGGAGACAAAAAGCTTCTTAGTAATGTACACACGCCTGCGCAGGTGTGTGCTGATCCAACGGTTCATAATCGAGTTTAGACAGTGCCTTAGCCATGACCTTCAAACTATCCTCCTAGCTTAGGTGTTCATTAGATAGATTGAATAAATATTGACCTTTATCATTAATAGTATCACAACACACATTTACTTGTTCGGGAGTGTGATGATCTAATGGCTCGGAACCCAGCTAGGTGAATTTCACCTAATTTCCATGTAGTCTTAAAAGATATTGGTTGGTTTTCTTGGTAGTGACATGTAACCAAATAAAAGTGGATAGGTAAGATTAGGAGAACTTATAAAATCTTCAATATTATTAAGGTTATTTTGTTTACTTTTGGAAGTTTAAATATCATCATTAAATCAAAATCCATACTATTCCTTCACTTTTATTTTTATGGGGAAAAAAAACAAGAACTTTCACTTGTATCATTGGTTTGAACAAGTATGAGACCTCGAGGTGTATTTGTTATTTATATAATGCTTTGGTTTGATCAATATCTTGGTATGATGTAATGCACATGTTATATGTAGAACTCAATAATCAAGGTTATTACTTTTGGTCCCCTTTACTCTTTTTTTTTTTTTTTTCATTTTTAATAATTTCATTTTTTATTTATCCAAAAAATGTAGGAGCATACACAACTCCATCTATGATAAGAACCCGGACGAAAACACCCACTCGACCGTGGTTCCCGACCATGTGATGCCACCACGGGCCGATGAATATTGGGCCCCACACCCCAAGACCGGCGTGTTTGGGCCTTCCTCCAACGACAAGCCAGATTTGGACCATGACTCGGGCCCAAACTCTGTTGCCAGTGATGAGTCAGCATTGGAACAGAGAGCCTTCTTCCGCCCGAACGAGGATTTGGAGAAGCCACCTGTTCAACCTTAAAAAGAACTATATTCATGTATTTTCCAACTTTTATGGAGAAGTTGGAGCTTGCTAAAAGATTCTCTCTTTATTGTAGTGTAGTGTGTATCTACCCATGAAGACTCGGTTTGAAAATTTATGCATAATAATTAATGGGTTATGTATATGGCATGTGAACCTCTTATGTACCCGCTATTTTGCAATGACATGATTTCATGCAAAAAGTCAAATATTCTACTTTATAATATTATATAACATATTGGGAAATGTTATAGTCCGTCACGGAATCATTCTGTCGTAGTTTGTAACTGTTAAATCATCTATCTCCGACGGTTACATGATGGTTCAACGGTCACAAATCTCGACGGAATAGTTCCATAACGTAACCGTAGTATTTCCCTAAAGTATTATAGCATTTCATTAAATAGTCATTTTTTGCAAGGTTAAGCCATTTGAAAAAAAAAAAAACATTATTATTTTATCGATGCCTTTGCTCAAGAACAGTTAAAGCAGACTTCAACATTTCGCGTGCTTTTCTATCTGGTGAACATCCAGAAGCTTCCATCTCACTATATATCTTAGGGACCTGTTGACAAAAAAACAAATAAACCAATTCAGTAAATATGCTAATTAACTCTGCCCTTAAAACAAGTTCTGGAGATGAGCACCAAAACTTTAGGAGACTAGATTTACAACTGATTATATAAGCAGCTAAAACCTCATCTTTGCATTTTTATTTATTTTAACTCACTTTATTTAAACAATTGCATTTTGCCCCCCAAACTAGCGAATTCGATACTACAACGCATAGTTTTTTTTTTACCGTTGGATCAATAGTAAAGAAAACCTTGTGTGAGCAGGCAGATATGAATATCGCTCCTCGAATTGCTCCATGCCCAGGTTCACTTTGGAAAGTTTTCATAGCGGACTTGGACCTATCATTAGTTGACACGTGTCGACATCCGGACAACGTTCGACTTTTGCCAAAAAAAAAAATATATATATATATTTTACGAGCTTAAAAATGTATTAGTTTTTAATCCCCTATTTTCACCACAGTTTCCCTTATACTACTCTTCGACTAACGACTTGCATGGAACTAGCTAAAAATGACATTATTCGGGACAAATGGGAACATATGTTTAAAGTTCAGCAGGCCAAATGCAAATGTCACTCGTTAAAGAACTAGGTTGTGTCATAATGGCTGCCCAAGATAACGAAAATAGAAGCCAGTAATCGGATTTCATACGATTTAGTATATCAGTGATATATATATATTAAACAGAAAGATGGATTTTTCTCGGAAAATTATACGCAAAGTAGTTTCAAGTTTCAACTTTCAAATATTTCCATAGAAAAAAGCATCGCGTACCTGATCGAATTTCTTTGACCACAAAAAAGCCTTCATCACTGTGCTATATGTCACAACATCCGGGCTAATACCCTTCCAATCCACAAGAAACATGATTTTCAGGGGAAAGACAAAAGTGATTTTAGATTACATACCGTAAAAAGTGAAAAAACTGTCACTTGA